ATTTATGAATTTTTTCTTCATATGTAATAGAAAGGTATAGTTCGATAGATGAAATTTTGAATTACCGCTCGTATTGATGGGCGATTTCAACACTAGTGACGAAAATTTAGAACTCTTACGTGCATACCTTTAGGAATTCTTTAAACTTGTACTAGTGAATGATTTGGACAAACCAACCACGCAAGGGAAAACTTGTATAGATTTGACATTTGCAAGAGGTATTCAAATAATATCAAAGCCATCTGTATCCTACTTCTCATACCATTATCCTGTATTCAATAAATGTAAGTTGCAAATGAATTAAACCATTCAAAACAAAATATTTGTTTAATTTCAATATACTATACACGATTGACCTTTTCACGAAAATAACTGCGGCAGTGTCCGACACTGCCTATCAATTTTTTTTGAGACGCCATAATATTTGATCAGCCGGTCAATATTCCACGTCTTACATTTGCCCGGAGCGGTGTGAAAGGGTGTACGTCCTAAAAGTTCAGGAAAAGGAACGTAATGTTTAGGAACTTGTGACAAACCATGTTTGTAGACTTAAAAAAATATGTGTATAAATATTATTAAAACGGACACATGAACTTATGGCTGAAGTGGTGATTTTGCTAAGTTAGTGTTAACAGAAAGTACAGGCAGTAATGTAGCAATCATACTTCGGTTGTAATTTTCAGGCTTATATCCCTTTCCATAGCACCATGGCTATAACCTGAAATTTCCCATAAATTCAGTATACTCTATCCCAGCTGACTTCCTTAATCTAAAGTTTGGGCTTCAAGGTATTTCGAATAAAATTTAATGTGTAATTCTTGTCTCTCCCATGTATGCTACTTGTTCTACCCATTTGTTACCCTAATACGGTATATTATAGAGTACAAATTATAAAGCTCATCAATGTGAAATGTTCCCTCTTAGTTCCGAATATTTCCCTTTTGACTCTGCAGTGAACATCTTTGATCTATGCTTTTACCTAATTGCGAAAGACCAAGTTTTACACTTCTTCCAAACATTACGTAAAATTGTATTTTTGTATATTTTAATGTTTATCTTTTAAATACGACACGTGAAAACATAAGATTCTTGTCCAAATGGTAGCAAGAATATATTTGCCTTCCTGTATATAAATGTTTATGATGATATGAAGTTAGCATCGAGGTAGTATCCAAAGGCTGAGATGTCATGTCGAGTTTTACAGCCCGAATGTTATAAACGTTATGTATGGGAGTCATATTGGGCTGCCAAGAAATTTCGTAGCTCACCAGGCAATATTTCTTCTTGTCCCGGTAAGTGGAGGAGTGTTGCATTCCAGAGCTGATGTTCAGCAGAACGACACCATTTTACTGGGAATGGCGGACAAGGCGATAGCAGA